TCAGAATCAGTAATTACAACAAAGCACAGAACTCCAATTTGGCTCTGTAAACATCAAAATCAAACAACTTGATGCAAAAAAAAAATTCCCCCTACTATGGCAAACAGCAACACTCTGCATCTTGACGGTAATGCCTCACTTAGACCTTCATTCTTCAGAAAAGGCAAGCAAATATGCTGCTTAATGCTTTCTACATTATCTTGTCTCAGTTGTACATATCAAAAAAGGAACCAACCTTTACAAAGTCCCTTCTCATTTTATGTACCCCTACAGATTTTACAACAACATAATGTACTTTTTTTCTTACAAGATTCCCATTTTAGAAAGTTAATTTAGAGCTCTGATTATATGCAATATCTCTATGGAAAAAGCATTTAACTATTGTCATCCATTGTGATCTTAACACATGGCTTTTATGCTTAAGATACCTAAAAGGTTTTTATACTTAAGATAACTAAAATACAACCAGTTAAAAAAAAAATTGCAAAGCAGAATAATCTTGACATGAATATGCAGGGCACAAAAGCAAGCATTTGAAATGCTCTTTAGCAGCAGAAAATTAATTTCTAATATTTCAACCTCTAGACTGACAAAACCTTTTTTTTTTTGGTCAAATTCACTTGCATCAGAATTAATTTACAAGTGAAAGTCTGTAAGAATAGTATGTTCAATAATACACTTTTTTCAATGTCTATCAGGTAAGAACTGAAATGAACAACCAACTACCAGGTATTTGACAGTACAGAGGGGAGCAATTGTCTTTCTTCCCATCCAAACTCATAGAATCACAGAATGGCCTGGGTTGGAAGTGACATTAAGGATCATCTAGTTTCAACTCCCCTGCCACAAAGAGCAATGCTGCCCACTAGATCAGGATGCTCAAAGCAATTTCTAACGCAATTTTTCGTTCATCTCCTTTAGTCAGTCATTAATCTTGTTCAGTACGGTAAACACCACTGTATGCTTACCAGGTCTCATATGTAGTAAGCCAAAATAAGTCAACACTGTATGGGAAAAGTACTCATTACCATTCTTGCACTGGCAATACATTCTTGGAGGAAAAAAAAATGTTCCATTAATAACTCCTGCTAACTGTCCTATAGAAAAGGTTACAGAGGCAAAGATGTCATCAAAGAACATTTTGATTAATTCAGCAGAACAACTATTAAAAACCAAAGCATATAGGTAGGACAAAGCTTAAAAGCAAATGCATTTCTAATATGTATCTAAAGGTGGCAGTAACTGTTTGTTCTTTATTATAGGCCCAGAATTAATCTTTGAAGAGCTTCAAATGCTGTATCTCAAGGTTCTATCCAGAACTGAGAGTCAAATCCATCCTCAATGCCAGCTGAATGTTATGTCAAAAATCAAGTTGTTCTAATGAACACAACCTCTAAAGTGACAGAATTTCTGTACACCGGCCATCTCCAACTTTGTTTTTTATATTACTGACATAAAAGCAACACAACCTGATTAACATGGCCACCAAACAACAACATAACACAAAGATACTCCAAATTAGACATATTCCAGTATCAGAATCTAGATGTTAAAAAGATACAAAAGAGGAAAATATTTTCTACCTCAGTCAAAAAAGCCCTCTAGCCCCAAATGCCTTTCTTTCCTCTGTAATATAACATCCATAATGCACATAAAACTATGGAGAGAGCTCACCTAAATTCTAAACAAAAGACAAGTTTGAAATATTTGTACAAGACATTAGTGGGAGGAATCTTACTTGACTTAAAGTGAAGTTGTTCTTTGTTCTCAGAATTAGCACCCACGCCTTCAATTGGTTCTCATTATTGCTGTAATTACTGATGTCTTAATCAAGTTACAGAAAACAGTCTAGCCTATTTAACTTTGCAGACATTATCCTTACAAGATACTCAAATGAAAATAAGGCAAAAAATGATTTTGAAGAAGAAGAATCAGGGGCAGGACTGGTCCTCTGGTCCATAGGGGGAAGTGTGTGTGTGTGTGTGTGTGTGTGTGTGTGTGTGTGAGGAGGTAAAAGGAGGAAGGACATGAAGAAGACCTGCAGTTCCACAAGAACACCCTTATTTACTTCCAGCTAAGCACTTCCTGCAGAAATGGGAGCAGCATGAATTTCACTTTCTTCACTCTTACCCTTTAGGAAGGAATAAGGCTCGATAAGATAAGTAAGCTTGCAAACAAACCCTTTAAGTTCTTTCATCTTCAGTTCCACTTGGGAAGAAGTGTTCTTTGGTGGCATCTTTTTTATTTTTGAAAATATGCATTAGCTACAAGATATACATTACATATACGATATGCATATCTATATAGTTACTTACACAAGCATGTGGGTGTATGCACATATATATATATTCTAAAAATTTATTTTTTTCAAATTTTGTACAGTATCTGGAGTTAAACTGGCTAACTATCCAAAAAAACCCAAAACACTACTTTTCACATCCCCCAGAAAGTTCACAAGAATATTACTTAAAACATAAATGCTACCTTGGTAGAGGGGATGAAGTGACAAGCCTCTTCTGAAATCTGACCACACTAAGATTTAAATACGATTTCAATATACTGCTTTGACTGGTTAGCCAAATACCCCAACAGTTTTAAAACTTTTACACCTTCTCTGTTCTTCACAGTTGGAATAAAAATTTGTTTTTATCAGTGAGCCTCCAAACTCTAAAAGAGAAGTGTAAGCTGAATTCAGATTTCGTTTAATTGTTGTTTCTTTCCCCCAGGAGACATCAGTTATAAATATAGAGAGCCCTACTCGTTTGTTTTTTTTTTCTGGTAATTCACCTCTCATAAATCTAGAATACATACCTGTACATTATTAGCAGAACTATTATTTCGTGGAGAGACCTTTATATGTTCTTTTTCTTTGTTATTTTGTCTTAAATCCCTCTCCTCTAAAACATCAAAGGTAAACTTGAAGAACAGGGAAGCCATATCCAGTTTGATGCTTTCATTTTAGCTGGCAGTGATGTTACAGATAACTTTGTCAATCATCATTTTCTTTTAGTGACTTCTCAAACTAAGAAAAAATGTACAAAATTTCTTGTAAGCTTCCTCTCATTCTTTCCTTTTCTACATTAATAGGATTTTCCTTGTTTCCTTTATGGTGTGGTGGTGAGGACGGAAGAGCACTGATGGGAGAAGATATACTCTACAATTTTTCCATTTCATATGGAAAGTCTCGTGTTTGTCATCTGTTTGCTAATGTTCACTGACATCCTTCCTGTGAATAAGTTGTTACTAAGACCACCACACATTTCACCTCTGAACTTGCATTATTTTCCTAAGCTTGACCTGTTCAAAACTGAGTTCCTGATTCAACTGACCCAGTTATTAACTTTATCCTAAGCAAGTGTCATCACAATGAAAAAAAAATTTGCACTGAGGTTCGCAAACATCTGCTTAACTTCTGCTTTTTTAACACACTAGACCTACCACATTCTCCCTTTTACAACTTCCTAGATAAAATGAGAGTATTCAGTAATCCTCTGATACCAGATGGTGACCATTCCCAAATTCCTTTCATGTCATTCTGACTGCACAGATATGGTCTGTGTGTGTGCAACACAGTACAGAGTGTGGACATGGTACAGGGACTAATAAATCTCCTCATGGATACAGTGCTTCTTGCTGTTCTTCACACTGCCAACTTCTTCCTCACACTGGGAATTACACTCTCTGTGGGTAGGTTTAAATTTGACAGAAACTGTAACAACTGTAAACCAAGTAATAGTTGATCCTAAATTTCAGTCACTTGCTGTGTGTCAGCTTCACTGAGCCAACTCAAAACCCATTTAGTTCAAAACCTGCAATATCGAGTGGCTTTTTATGGAAAATACAGTGAAATGTGTTGTTGATCTCAAATTCATCCTCGCTGGAGAAAGTAAGGTCCAACTGTAGCTAAGCAAATCAAAGAACATATACCTGAGAACATAGCTTGACTTAAGAAACTGTCGTGGTTTAAGTCCAACTGGAAATTAAGCACTGTGCAGCCATTCGCTCAACTCTTCTCTCTCTCTGCCACCCCAGCAGAATGGGGAGGAGAATCAAAGTAAAAAGTTGTAGTTTGAGTAATCAAAAGAAAAGTAAAATACAGTAATAATGGTAAATAATAATAATAATAATGAAAATAAAAAGGGAAAGAAAAAAACAATCAAACATGATGCACAATACAATCGCTCACCAGCTGCTGACCAACGCCAGACTCCACTTCCCAAACCTAGACTGACCCCCTTCCAGGCAACTCCCCCTGGTTTATATACTGGGCATGATGTCCTATGGTATGGAATATCCCTATGGTCAGTTTGGGGCACCTGTCCCAGGCGTGCTCCCTCACAGCTCTTGCATACCTCCTCGTTGGCAGAGCATGAGACAAGAAAAAAAAGTCCTTGACTTAGGATAAACACAACTTAGCAAACAGCAAAACATCAGTGTGTTAACAACACTGTTCTCATTCCAAATCCAAAACACAGAACTGTAACAGCTGCTGAGAAGAAATCTATTCTAGCTGAAACCAGTACACAAAGGTAATAAAACTCTAAACTGAATGATTTCTGTCAAGATGAAAGTAAATTCCAAAACACCCATAAGAAGTTTAGTAATAAGCACTTTTTCACAACCTGTGAGGAACCAGTAACGCAGAAGAGGGTTTTAGTAGATGTTTCAGGCCACCCAAAAATGTTTCTGGATGAACAAAAGCAGAGAGACTAATCAAAATCAAGGTTGCTTAAAAAGAGGGAGGCAAACAACTTCTCACAAGGTGGGCAGGGGATGCTGCCTCTAAAACTGAAAACCAGGAAAGCAAAGATAATGGAAAAGTGCAAAGTGATGCTTGATGGAGAAATGCTAAAGCCTAGAAGTTTAGTGCTAAGTTAGCATATTCAGACCTATGATTTCAAGATGACATTAGGCTACAAGCTTATTTGAACACAGAAAAAATCACATGCAAATCATTTCATGTCCCTCTGTACAAAGTATTCCAGCTTCAACTGACTTACCTCCCATAATTTTAGATTGGCAGTTGATAAATTCTGGCTTCTTATCTGTAAGGTATCGCTGACAAGTGTGATGTAGAACCTGAAAGAATGTGCATTTTTCTGAAGCTGTGCTTGCTACCCATTGGTCAAAAGCATTTTCAAATAGTAAATCAAATTCCGGGGAATCCTAGAAGAAAAAAAAAACAACACACTGCTATTATTCCAGTTTTATAAATGATTTGGAGAAAGATATGGAGTCATTGCTTTTTAAAATATATTTTGTTGGATAAAGTAGACAGGTCATGCAAATCAAAACCATCCAGGTATTATTGCATATTTTTGTAGATAAAAACCACACAAACAGGAAGTAAGTTTTTTTCTTGCTGTTATTTTTAATGAGGAATACTCATTAATGAGGAATACTCAGCTATGACAAAAATACCTGAAAACAAAAATACTTTAGATGAAAAAAAATCAAAGTAAAAATCTCATAAGAAACCCTTGTTATCTACAGATATATAGTTACCTGTGCATTCTATATTATGCAAACATTTATGCCTCTCAACACAAAATCTACTTTCACACTATTATAGAAGATGTGGTTCTGCTCTCAATGCTCCACCAACAAATAAACTAAGCAAATAACAAGTCTTAGTTACTGTATTTGATGCATTATCATAAAGTGTTGCAAAGGTCTCAGAATAATGTGAACAGAAGACCATTCCTAGAACAAATCAAAGCGCTGCTCTATACCATGCATCAACCACCAAAATAAATGGATTTTATGCAAGAAGTAGTGCTATATATTAAGCAATAATTGCTAAACATCGTTTTGCAATCTAATCTAGTAAATATTCTTTTTTAATTGATGACACTAGGAATTCACAGGTAGACAAGTTTGAAAGAAACATTTCTAAGCTTAACAACTTGATAGGACTTATAATCCATTATGTACACAGCTGCACAGTAGACACTGTGAAAGGGTCTAAAATTCATTTCCCTTATTTATTTCTCATTGCTCTCATTTTCATAGTCCCTTTACCCAGAGAAAATATAATTCCACTCCTTGCATTTCATAAGGCAGTGGCCAAGGGCCTTCTTTTTTTGTACAAAAGACTGTACTGGGTAGTAACAGAATTTGGTGCTGCATGGTTAAGATGCTTAGGTGGCTGATCAGAGCACAACTTTGAAGAAACCAAGGGAGTTAGTCACAAAAACATTTTGCTCTACAAGGAATACGGTAAGTCACTTTGTGATCACACGTTGATGAGCCACATTTCTAACTTCTACTTATGTTGTTTTACTCCTGGAGAATTGTATTCATAAGCTTATTACATATTAGTATGACTTTGTCTTGAGACAGTTTAAAGTGGGCTGTATATTCCAAATCAAAGGAACAGTTCCAGAACTATTTAGTGTAGGACTGGTTTGTTTTATTTTATTTTTGGTATTTTTTTGTTTAAATCAGCATTCACTTGCCATTGGCAACCACAGGACACACTACCACCCTTTGTAGCAAAAGATAAGAAATGCAGAAGTATCTGAGGAGAGGACTGTCCTGGAAAAAATGCAAGGTTCACAATATTTCACAAACTTGAACCTCCTCTGTCTTCATGTCTACCTATTGCTCTATCTCACAAAACAGCTGCATGCCGAAGTAGACTTCAGGAGGCTTATAGCTGAAGCAAAGGCAAACAGGGCTCTTACTTTTCTCTTTACAAAGAAGAGAGAAAGTAGGAAGAAAAGTATGGAAAGACAGGAAGAAAAAAACCTGTATGACTGAGTTTTAGCCTCCTCTCATCTTTCCCATTAAAATTGACTTTACATATGCCATTGAGTTATTCCTTTCTTGAGAATTTGCACTTAAATCTGCATCTTTTCTTTCCACATGCCTTTTGAATAGTGAAAGAACTGATTCACAAATCAGTTACCTAAGAGCTCAAGGTTCATTTTCTAGAACTGTTCAAACTCACCCGATTAGGGTCTATACCATTGACCTGGCGAAGCTGCTCGAGCATCCACTGCGTTCTCCTGACAAAGGACGTAGAGCCTTCAAATTGCTTCACCTTCGTTATAGATGCTTGAGCTGGTTTCTTGTTCGTCACTGAACATATAAAAAAACATAACTGAAATCGGCTTTAAGATTCAGGAAGGTGCTGTTTACTTCACTTATAACTAGCTGGTTTGCTGGAGTATCTTCTGTAATATCCCACAAAGTGGGACAGTAAAACATATTCTCTTTCCTGCATAGCATACTGAAAAGCACATTCCTTATTTTCTACCACTCAAAATTGGATTTATTTTAGCCTCTATCAGCTTAAGTTACCAACATCCCGTAAAAAAACCCAGAACTACAACAAAGGTCTTTTCATTTGCATTCTTAAAATCACAGAATCAAAGAATGTCTTGGGTTGGAAGGGACCTGAAAACTCATCTAGTTCCAAACCCTCTGCCATGGACAGAGACACCTGTCACTAGACCAGGTTTCTCAGAGTTCCACCCAACCTGTCCTCAAACATCTTCAGGGATGGGACATCCACAACCTGTTCCACTACCTTTCCATCCTAGTACAGACTTTTTTCTTCTTAATATCTATTCTAAAACTCCTTTCTTTCAGTTCAAAGCCATTCCCCCTTGTCCAGTCATTACATGCTCTCATAAGTAGTCCCTCTCCATCTTTACTGCAAGCTCCTTTCAGGTACTGGAAAGCTGTGGTGATGTCAACCTGAAGCCTTTTTTTATCAGGCTGAAGAAACCCAGTTCTCTCTGCCTTCCCTCACAGGAGACATGCCCCAGCAATTACCGTACTGTTCTCTTTTCCCCACGCCAATTAGCTTAAGTTTCTCATATCCAGCCTCTTATTCATTTCTTTCTCTTATTCTCATTTTAGAAAACATAGAAAAACCCCAAAACATATCACCTGTAAGTATATGTACGTTTTAAAAAAATCTGTTACTTTAGATTGAATTTCATGTTATTGATTGGGGGGAAAAAAAAAGAAAAATAAGTTTTTTTCCAGTCTTTTCACAAAATGGCACATGTAGGTCATGTTTGTATAACACCACCACCATCTATGACATCTAATTCCCAGTCAACAGACAGAAGTATAAGCACATTGAGAAAGTAAATTCACCGAGTCAACAATAGTCTGTGAAAAATACAGCTATAATAATTAAGGAACTAAAGTTTGCTTGATGCTCCCTCCCCCAAATATTAGGTACATCAAACAACAATGATAAATAAGAAGGATCCTATTTATTATAAACAAAATGTATGTTAAAAAGCACAAACAAAGCCACAGAAGACTGCTCTGCTTTTGGAAAAGAATAAAAAAGGCAATATAAATGCTCAAATTAGTGTATCATTAAGTCAGAATCATGTTTTCAAAGACAACTTAAACATTAAACCTATCTTTTCAACAGCAGAAAACTTGACTTTTTTTAATCAGTATAGCTTTTAACCTCCATGGAAGTTTTATAAGCGGTTTTAGATATTTTCTGTAGTCAAATGTGTATTTTCTTTACATATTATCTGTTGCTGTATGTTAAGTCACTTGCAAACACATTTCCACCTTCTGTGAAGAAATAATTTGTATAATCATTGTACTGCATAATCTACTAAAGCTGGTGTGTCATCTATTTTTCTACTTAAACTCCTTCCAAAAATAACTTTATCCATATGGTCTGCCAAATAGAGTATTATTGGAAAAGTCACTTTTCTCTGCTTTTAGATGCTGGCAGTTACAGAAGGCTTTTAAAATAATCAAGACTTGAAAAGTAAGTTTGCTTATTTTTGTGCACTCCATTTGTCCAAATAACTAGAAAAAGTAAGAGTCTTCCCACTCAGAAGATTCATACTACATGCAATTCTGCACCCAGAGGCATAGTTAAACAGTAAGTAAATACTGATGTAATACCTTATCATTCCATAAAAAGTTAATATTGCACCTAAAGATGAAAATTTTAAAATGCACAAATCAGTGTTTTGATATTAAAATGCACTTTAGAATAGATTAGAAAATGAAGATTAAGATGAAAAGCTCTTTTCAGCATCTCAGCTTTAAACATTTTCAGTTCCGTGTGCGTCTATGAAAGTCCAAACACCCTTATGAGAACTAAACTTGATAAACAGAAAATTAATTTCTAAGGAAATTTTAACAGGTAAAGAAGATTGGAAAATGAGATACTAGCCTTCCACATGGCAGATAATTGTTTTTAAGAAGTTACTTTGGAGCAGAAAGCATAGTTCTCAATACATTGATCAGACTATTGACAAGACTGCAGTAAACAGATTGCCAGAAGTCTTCTCATTGGCAGTTGAAGCACTGAGAGCCAAACCTGTGCATGGGCAGCAGAGGTGACAGAAATCTCATCTATACTTACAGGGTATAATACAGGTTCTGGTTCTACTGCAAGTCTACACACCACTGAGTGGGAAACAAACTCAAAAGTTGCAAGAGCAGACCACAAGTTTATGTGCCTATCTTTCCAAAATTCACCCTTTATAGTATATATTCACATCTTTTTTGTCAACTCCAGTGATCACTTTGAAACACTTTATAGCATTCCACTATGCCAAGTTTCACATATCTTATACAAAGCAGCACTAATTGAAGGCTATCTAACACTGGTTTAACTTTAATGGCAGTTCCTCCTTTAGATCTCACACTCATAATTATTGTGCACAGCCAAACAGATCTAGTTGCATCTCACCTTTTGTGTTTTGGCATTTTCGGAAACAGCTAGCAATTCTACTGCATTCAGATACCCACGATCCCACCAAACATGCTTGAAAACCTTCACTTAGTCCATGACAGCTTGACAGTAGTATGGCAATCATTACAACTCTGAGAAACCCTCTGGCAGCTGGGAAAACCATCCTCACTAGCTGCTCATTATGTTTCCTTAAAAACCAGAGCACTTCACCAGCCACTGAGTGGGTGTAACCTTGCAAACATGTAAAAAGTATTTTCTAAAACCTGAAAAAATGTGAAGGCAATTACATACTCCTAGTCACATTCATCCTCTGACAAATCATTTGGGTGTTTTTGCTAAAATCCTCAACAATCATTGTCTACTTTACTAAAAGACAATATTTAAGTTAAGCTTCAATTTTAGGTAGGTTTTTTGTTTGCTTTGCCTTTTTTTTTTTCTTTTAAACCGTAGCATCATGCCTTCAAAATAAGAAGCTGTAGTAGTGTAGACAAAATATGTTTATTTGGAATGCATCAAAAGGTGGTAGGTCCATATGGTATTTCTGTGTGTCATTAGATGGAAATAAATAAGCTTTTTTTTTTTTAAGCAACAGTTATTGGTAAAGTAAGAAAGAATGCGTGAGAAATCAGCTACAGCAATTTATGATTTAAGATGTTGTGAAGTTTGGCTTAGTGACTTTTCTGGACTTTCTGGGGTTTTTTATGTGGTTTTTGTTTGTTTTTTAACACTAAATTAACATACAACCAAAACTTGCTGAGTCAGAAACAGCACTAGGTCTTCTGGGATTGAAGACATTATTAACTATTTTGCAGCACAAATAAAAGTAAGTTACAGTATTAAGTTTTAAAGAGGTTTGAGAGGCATGCATGCATTTAAGTGAAATACTCTTGTTTCAAAAACAGATCAGAGAATACAAAGCAGAAATAGATCAGAATTATCTTTAGAAAATGCCGTCACAGAGGCAGGAAAGTTATTGTTCTTATCATTTGGAACACATCGAAACAGAGGTATTTGAATTCCAGACCTCATTTAGAATCCGGTCCCACATGCATGTCTAGCACCTTAAGCATCAAATCAGTACAGCTCTTTTCACACAGAGGGCAGTATTTAAAGTCATAAGCTGCCATGCAGTCACAGTTCATCTCATCTGCAGCCTAGAATGTATTTTATTTTTTCAGTCCTCTAAAGTAACTTTATTTGAATGAAAAACATAAAATAATAAAAAACAGTTAATCCCTTAAATACCTACACAATGCCTGCCCTTGAGAAACAGTCTAAAAAGCTCTAAACCAATCCACTGTGGACTTCTATTTATTTTTCTCTAAATTTGGATCTGTGCATTTAATAACTCAAACTCTAGGTAATTAGTAATTTTATGACAAATGGCTTAACTGCCCCATAAAATTTCTAGCCATATTGTGGATGTATTTCTAGAGTGCTGAATGACTGAAAGAAATATTGAAGGGAGAAATGAAAAAGCAGAGTCCTGAAGCAGGCAGTGACTGCTGCAACTCTTCATATTATAACAAGAATTTGCTTTATCTGGGCAATATGCAGATTAATAAATTAAATAGCCTTATCTTTTATTGCTTTTGTGTCACCAGCTCTTGAACAAACAAACAAACAAACCAGAAAGAAAAAGTAAATAGTGCAAATTAAGTAAGATAAATCAAAAAAACAGTTTCATTTGTGAAATTTTTTCAGTTGTGAAAGTCAGACTGAGCATTGCTCCCGAGCAGGTCTGCAGAAGCCTACTGCAGGCATTGGCTGCCTGTGCAGTTTGATCCTCAGGTATTTATCAATTAAATGTTACAGCATGATCTATCTGTATATCAAAACTTGTACAATGGATACTCATCTCTCAATTCACAAGTAAACAATTATGCTAAGTTCTTCAAACTGGCTGTTAATAATTAATGATGGGAAAAATCCTTAGAATGCACTCAAGGTAGTGTAAGGCCTTTTGAAAAAAGGTCTCTGATGAAGAAAATGTTGAACTCAATTCCATGGTAGTGTGATGCAATTTCATGGTCACTGTGCCTAGAATTTAATCATTCCTATCTTCTTCTATATTCTAATCATATGCTACCATAAAGCAAACCTCTTCACATTGAGACTAAGTCTAAACCAGCCAGGAGTTTCCTAAACAGCTTTTGATTCAGACAGAATAAAAAGAGCAAATTTAAAAGCAGCAGCACATTTTAATTAAAAATATTGTTTAAAGCCAACAGATTTTATTAGGAAATAGATAAAATTATGTATTAGAATTTGTGACAGAAATGCTTTTCTTTTTCCAAGTCAGTTCTTAGGGGAAAAAGTAGGTTATGAACAGACTGTGGCAGAGATACTCCTCTATACTTTCCAGTTCTCAAGAGTTACATATCGAAAA